AACTTTCTGGGGTACATGAAGAAAAATAAGGCATAGAAGAACGGATTGAAGAGTGAAAGGAACAGGAGAAAGCAATGCAAAAAACCTAGCTGGAGAGATTGAACGTATAGATGTTCGGAGTAGACAGCTGACAAAAAGACAACTTATAAGAACCTTCAAATCGAAGTAACAAAAATGTGGAAACTTAAAACTACGGTCATCCCTGTTATGGTAGCGGCATTTGGTATGATAAAGAAGGGTACCTAAAATCATGTGATTAAAATCACGGGACACAAGCGAAACTAAGACCCACAAATGATTTCTCTGTTCGGAACTGCACATATCATCCGTAAAAGCCTTTGCATATAAAAGGAACGTCCCAAATATGCATAGATAACTCTCCTACAGTGACCTTTTCACCGGAAGAGATTTGGTAATTAGACGCTTAAAATTGATATAATTTATAATAATAATAATAATAATAATAATAATAATAAAGATTCCAGTAGACTTATTGAAGGGATTCCTGGTAGCCCATGCCTTAAAGAAATACAAAAAAAATGCTCCCACAAGTACAGCCTACATTTTACGTTGGGCTTTATCTATGTAAAAAATATGTGCGTCTTTTTTTTATTTATTTTTCAAACCTGCTCAGTGGAAAATGTCATGATGCCATTTCTGACCTTAGACCTCTAGTTGGGACCCGGAAAGAAATGAGTACACACCGGAAATCAAAGGAAATAATAATAATAATAATAATAATAATGTGGAATTTCCCACTCCTCACAGACAGGAAAATTGATGCAAAAAGACTAGACATAATCAGGAAAGATTTCAAAAAAGAAACTTAACCAACAAATTCATATGACTTGCCTACAAGATTTCAATGTTTCTAAAAACATTAAAACCTGTCAAATTATAAGGACCTTTAAATCGAAGTAACAATAATGTGGAAACTTAAAACTACGGTCATTCCTGTTGTGATAGGGGCATTGGGTATGATAATAAAAAAGGGTACCTTAAATCATGTGAGTAAAATCCCTGGACACATCAGCATCACGGAGCTATAAATGACTACTTTGATCAGAATTGCACATAAATTCAGCAGGTCCCAAATATGCATAGATAACTCTCCTATCGTGCCGTTTTTACTCATAGATCCCGGAAAGGTCTTGGAGATTCAGTCAGTTATGGGCCATGCGTGATACACACTTAGTCGATCATGTATCTGTCGATACATGACTAATGACGCAGATTTTTTCCCGCAGTAGGTTGCCATTTCTTTCTGCGGTAGACCAGTTGCCATCCAAGGCTATAGAGCCCGGCCTGACCTTCTATTTATCCATAGCTGAGGGGAAAAGAAGAGGATTTATACCTTTCCTAAGGGTATTAGCATGTAAGTGAATATCAGTTCAGTTATGTGCTATGCGTGATACACGCTTAGGCGATCATGTATCTTTCGATACATAACTGACGAGGCAGATTTTTTTCGTCAGAAGGTTACCATTCCTTTCTGCGGTAGACCAGTTGCCATCCGATCTGTCCATCTATTTACCCATAGCTAGGGGGAAGAAGAAGAGGCTGTATAAGTTTCCAAAATTGATATGACGTGCCCACAAGATTTCAATTTCTCTAAAAAAAATTAAAACCTATCAAATTATAAGGACCTGCAAATCGAAGTAACAGAAATGTGGAAACTTAAAACTACGGTCATCCCTGTTGTGGTAGTGGCAAAGGGTATGATAAAGAAGGGTACCTAAAATCATGTGAGTAAACTTTGAGAACACGTCACCCTCTCAGAGCTGCAAAAGATTATTATAATCCTGTCCATCTTACCTTTTTTATTCCTAAACCTCAGAGGAGTTTGTGAAAAATTGAGTACTTAGAATTATTCTCTGGGAAGACCATACCACACGCATTAATAATATTAATAATAATAATAATAATAATAATAATAATAACACAGATCAAGATTATAGTGTCTTTGAGAGTTCCATAATCTTGTCGATAGTTGCACGATATCTGCTACCTCAATCTTAACCTGTTCAAGTCTTGGGTTAACCGTTATCTTCCCCACCTATCCGCATAAACAGTGCCTCTTACCTGGCATATGTCAGAGGGTATCTCGAGACGAGGCTCAGCCGAAGGGTAGATTCTCGTCTCGGGAAATTGACTCAGTCTATACGTGGTCTATAGGGAATTTTTGCCCTAGTCTACGGGCTCGGATACCCCACTTTAAAACTCGGCCTTGTGCCACATCTTGCTGCGTGGGACAGCGAGTAAGTAATGACTCTGTAACCCTCTACCTGCTTTATGGAACTGCTTCCCTGATCGCTACAATCTTAACAAGTTCAAGTCTAGGGTTAACCGTAATCTTCCCCACCTATCCGCATAAACAGTGCCTCTTACTCAGTAACTCTCTACTTGCTTTATGGAACCGTCACCCAAGAGACTGCTTCCCTGATCACTACAATCTTAACAATTTCAAGTCTAGGGTTAACCGTTATCTTCCCCATCTATCCGCATAAACTGTGCATCCTAATCTGCATCCTTCTTCCAGCTTTAGTGATGTGGTCGCAGTAATTGCTTAACAGCTATGACTGGGCTCGCCTGCTTGTGTAGCATGATGC